ACGGTAGTCCCTTCTCCTCCCTGATTCTATCACTGCCTAGCTCCTAACGATTGTCTCAGACACACCCATACATCATCTCTGCCAGAAGGCCTTTCCCTACACTTATTTTCATTCACCCTCTGCATTTCCACAGCAACTTGTTTGTATTCCCATCGAAGGGGTAATGGCTGCTCCGTGGTTCATATATTTGAGGTGAACTTCTCCTACAGTAGGCAAAAAGAGTCCCAAGTTCTTGTTCTGACTCTACTGGGACATTTTGGAGATCTGAATTCTCGTTCCTTCCCTCAAGCACTGCGATCATAAGGAAAGCTTCTTAATGTCCCTGACCTTTAATTTCTTCACTTTAGAAATGGAAAAGTCATGCTGCTGATATCTATTTTTATCTGGCTGGAATGCGATAGGGATTAAATGGCACAAATATATGAAATGTTTGGAACAGTGCCTATTAGCAATGCTGGTGATACTAGAAAATATTAGCATTCAAAACTATTTACTAATATTTATTTTCTTTGTTTTAGGCAATAAACAACTAAATAGTAATCAACATTTAAGGGCATTTTCTAACCCTGAAATCAAACAGGTTAACCTGATGGAGACTTTGGATTGGGGCCCAGTCCTCATGCCTTCACCCAAAGCCCTGTGTCTGGGATCCTGCAACCAGCATTCCATAACCAGAGTTTGACTTGAGACTTGTTCTCCCCTTAAATCACAAAGACCACATAAAGTCTTATCAATCATTTATAATGCCCTCATTGAAGTAGTCCCAGACAAGCCCAGATGGAAATAATAATAACTCATATTTGTGTGTTCTTTGCAACTTCCAAAGCACCCTCACACACTCTTGTTCCTGTGATTCCCACAGTGCAGCATTGCCTCAGGAGGAGCAGGCAGGACTATGATTATTTCAGGGATTCGAGCACTGGGACCCACAGAGAACTAAGAACCCAGATTTTCCAGGAAGGTACAGCCATGTCCTTGGTTTTCACTGTTAAATTTTGTGACTTCCCATTTCACTGTGCTTGTGTAGCCAGAGGAACTCTTGGGCAGCAGTACAGCAATCAGAGCCAGGCTGTAGTGAGTTCATGTCCTACTCTGTCACCTGCTGGCTACTCTTGGGGAAAGCATGACACGTATGTACTCTAAGTGAAGCACAGATGATATGTATTGAATAGAGTTGTTGTGAGATGGACTGAGACCACCCATTTTCAGCCCTTAGTCAATGAATGGTAGTCATTGTCACTGACTTACTTTCTTTTCTTAACTTTCTTTTTATTTATTCTTTGTGTCTTTTACATCATGCACCTCAATCCTCTGTATCCATCCTCTGCCCTTGAAACCCCCCCAAAAAAATAAAATTTAAGAGAGAGAGAAATGTCTCATCATAGAAGCTGTAGTGTGACACAGTGAGTCATACCGTTTACCCTTTTATCTATATATCTTTATTTGCAAGTGTTCATTGCAGAGAGTCATTGGTCTGGTTCAAGGCCCCTGGTTTCTGCTATGCTATCAATACTGGGCCCTCACTGGGACTCCTCTTGGATATCCTGTTGTTGCCCTGTGTTGTGTAAATCCTGCAGCTTTGGGTCTACAGAACTGGCCTCCTCATGTGCTCCAGCAGATCACAGATGGGGTGGATATTGGAGTGGGCCAACTCATAACCCTAGTTCTGGCCCTGGATAGTTGCAGGGTTGGTAGCCTGCCAGTTTTTTCCATCTCACAGCCAGGGTGAGCTCTTAGGCATTGCCCCAGCTAGTTCACCCCTTGCTGTGATGAGCTGGGGGCAGAACCATTTCTCCTGTTTTTGCATCCTCAGGGTAGGTTCTCCCACACCTACACCTTCAGGGCCAGCTCTACTGTGTAGCACAGGTGAGATGCAGGGGCCACTCTCCCAAGTGCTAAGGCTGATGAGGGGCAGAAACCGTTCTCCTGTTCTTAGGAACTCCAGGCCAGCTCTCCCACCTGCCACAGGTTGAAGAAGGGGGACATCTCTCCCTTGCCCAAGCCACCATATGGCAGACTAAGGATGGGGCCAGATTTCCCAAACTCACATTCTCCAGGCATTCACCTACACCCTGGTCAATAGAGTCAGACCTACTGTGCTGCCCAGGTAAGGTGCAGGGCCTGCTTCCCTGAGTGCTGCAGCTGGTGAGGGGGAGGGTCAGCTCCCTCCCCTGCCATAGGCGACAGGGGCAAAGGGGGTAGGACTTCTTTCCCTTGCCTTCACCACCTAGCTGCCCAGCTATTTCATTCTCATGCCCTCAGGGCTAGTTCACACTGGTTCTTCTGCCAACAGGGTCAGCTCTCCAGTGCTGCCTAGGTAAGGAACAGGGACTGAAGCTGGTAAGGAGGAGGGTCAACTCCATCATCTGCTGAAGGTGAGGAACAAGGCATAGGTCCAGCTCCCCCATGCTCACAACTTCTGGGCGGGCTCACCTGCACCCCTATCTACAGGGTCAGCTCTACTGTGATGCCCAAATGAGGCACAGGGCCTGTTCTGCCAAGTGTTGACTTCTGTTCATGCTCATGTACTAACTAATTCATTCATTTCTTTATAAAACAAGATGAGTGACCCTTGAGGAATGAAAACTTAAGCTGACCTCTGTGTCCCACATTCATGAGCACATACTCAAATACACAAATGGGACGGTGTGCGGGTATGCTTTGAGCCTTTTAGATGGTTATTATTGTCATGCAATAATAGTGCTTTACATGTTAGATGTAAAGCAAAGGATAACCAGACTACAATCCACAGCTCCAGAGAAGCTAGGTAACAAGGAGGACCCTAAGAGGGACACATGGATTGCCCTGGGAAGGGAAATTAGATGAGATCTACTGTGTAAACTGGGGGCTGAGGAGGCAGTAACATGGAGGGGAGGGAGGTTGAGAGCATGAGGGAACAGGATGGTAGGGGGGGGATGCAGTGGAAAAGCAATGAAAGAGGTATCTTAATAATGAGAGCCACTATGGGGCTAGGGAGAAACCTGGTGCTAGGGTAACTCCCAAGAATCCACAAGGATGATCCCGTCTAAGACTCCTAGCAATAGTGGAGAGGATGCCTCAACTGATCTACCCCTATAATCAGATTGGTGAATACCCCAACTACCACTATAGAGGCCTCATCTAGTAATTGATGGAAACAGATTCGGAGTCTGACAACCAAGCACCAGGCTGAGCTCTGGGAATCCAGTCAAAGAGAGGGAGGAGGGACTATATGAGCAGGGGAGGTCAAGATCATGATGGAGAAATCTACAGAGACAGCTGAACTAAGCTCGTGGAAGCTCATAAATTCTAGACCAACAGCTATGGAGACTTCAAGGTACCCAACTAGGCCCTCCATATGTGGGAGACAGCTGTGAACCTTGGACTCTCTGAGGGACCCCTGTCATTAGGAACATGATAGAAACCTAGCATATGAGCTGGCTTGTTGGAGCCTGTTCCCGATAATGGGATGTCATACACAGCCTTAATGCAGGGGAGAGAGGCTTGGCCCTGCCCCAACCTTTTGTGCCAGACTTTGTTGACTCCTCATGCCCTGTGAGGAGGGGTGGACTGAGGGTGGGCTGGTGGGGGGATGTGAGGGACGCAGGAGGAGGTTTAGGAGGGAGAACTGTGGTTGGAAGATGAAGTTTAAAAGAATAAATAAAATATAAAAAAGATACAATGCAATCCCAATCAAAATTCCCACAACATTTCCCACAGTAATACTAAAAACAAAAATTCTAAAATTCATGAGGAACTACAGAAGATCCCAGATAGGCAAAGCAATCCTGACCTAAAGGGGCAATGCTGGGGGATTGCCATCCCAGATTTCCAGCTATGTTACAGAGCCATAGAAATAAACATAGCATGGTGCTAGCACAAAACCAGACATGTAGTCAATGGAACCAAATAAAAGACCCAAACATGAGTGCAAACAACTATGTCTGACAAAGATGCCAAAAGAACCAAAACAAACAAACAAACAAACACTGCAGGGAACATGATATCTTCAACAAATAATGCTAGGAAAACTAGGTGTCTACATGTAGAAGTTGGATCACCTGGAGCCAGAGTGAGAACACTGACATGCTAGACTCATATCCATCAATCCACACAAAAACCAACCCCAAATGGATGAAAGGCCTTAGTATGAAACTTGAAATGCTAAGGTACCTAGAAGAAAACATGGACTATACTCTATAAGGTATAGGTGTAAGAAAGACTTTCTGAATAGGGCTCCACTTTTTCAGGAATTGAGGCCAATAATTGATAAATGGTACCTCATAAAACTAAAATGTTTCTTCACAGCAAAAGGAACAATCAATTGAGCAAAGAAGAGACCCACAGAGTGAGAGGGAATCCTCTGAGAAAGGACTAATATCCAGAATACATAAAGATCTCAAAAACAGAGTCAAGAAAACACATATACCAATTTTAAAATGTGCTACATCTCTGTTCTCCAAAAAGATATAAAATGGTGTATTGTGTGTAAAAAGAAAAATTAATAGTGCCTTACATTGAGAAACCACTTGCATATTTTCACATTCACCTTTTTGTTGTTATCATATCTTGACAATTGCTTTGTGGCATAGTTTTCCATGATTTTAAAAAATATTTTTAAATTTAATTAATTTTATTTTATGTGTAGAAGTGTTTGAGTACATTTGTATCTGTGTGCCACATACATTCTTGGTGTTCTTGCAGGCCAGAAGAAGGGGTTAGATTTTATTTTTTTCCCCAAAATACAGTCACAGCATTTATAAACCTATTTTATAATAACCAGACCCACACCTCCAAGCAGGGGAAAGATCCAGGCTCCCAGGGGAACCTAGTTTAAGGTTGTGGATTTCAGAGACTTTTGAAGCCATGATGGGACCTGTAATGAGGACAAAGGAAAAGAGAATTTGAATACATAAAACAGGACATGGTTTGAAGGGCAGGATCTTCGAGAACTACTCCTAGTAGCCTTGAGGGACTTTTGTCTCTGCTGTCCCTGTTGCCCTGTGGCTGACCACCAGACATCACATTGAGAGGGGCCTTGAGAGGAAGTCCTTCGTGATCATCCTGGGGTGGCTATGGCTCATCAAACTGATCCAAATCTCAAAGCCCTTAGGCTCTCCCGGCACCGGCAAAGTCTTCAGCCCCAAATCAAACCTGCAGTATAAAACGGACAAAATGCCTATTTTCTTAAACAAGGTTCTAGTAAAATTGCCCATTGACCCTTCTGGAGACGACCCTTCTGGGGTGGCTATGGCAGGTCAATGCGGACCACAATTTCCCCTGTGGGGACCTCGTGCGGCAGGAGACACTTGGTAACTGGCCCCTTGGAGCCCTGGTCTTTCTTGATGTCAGCCACTCGGATCTCTGACCCAAAAAATCATCAAGTGAGAACTGGTCCCTCTCGAACACAGTGATGCAGAGAACTTCCTGTTCCAGGTCTCTGATGAAGAACTGGCAGTTGGAATTCCACTTAGGGTTCAGTGTGACCTGGATTGTCTTGGTGATGTGGCTTTGAGAGCCCATGGTCACCTCACAGTACAGGTTGCTCTTTCCATGTGACCGACAGGGCTTCAATTCAATGCCTTCTAAGATGTTTGCCATCAACCTCCAATACCGGTTGCCCGCTGGGAACTGACCAGGTACGCCTTCTCGCGTTTCTTTTTCTCTGGCTCTATATAGAGTTCAGGGGCAGCTTTGATTTTCTGCACCCAGGCAGTCCTTGCGTTTATGCTGTCTGCTCGGAGGGTGTAGACGCAGTCGATGTGGGAAATGTGCAAGATGGGCTCATCTCCAGAAGGGTCAGTGGGCAATTTTACTAGAACCTTGTTTAAGAAAATAGGCATTTTGTACGTTTTATACTGCAGGTTTGATTTGGGGCTAAAGACTTTGCCGGTGCTGGAAGAGCCTAAGGGCTTTGAGATTTGGATCAGCAGGAGGAAGTTGTTGAAGAGGAAGCAGTACAGCTCCTTGTAGCTCTTGGCCTTGTAGAGCTTCCCTCTGTGCAGAAATTTGCGTGGCCCCAAGCAGTTGGTCACTGAACTGAACACCAGTTGCTCAGAAAGACCTTCACACTGCACGTGGGCTTGGATCCACTCCAGACGGTCTGAGTTCTCCTCTGTCACCCCCTAGTTCACCTGGGAACACAGCTCTTTGGCCTTTTCCAGGGCGTGCTTCAAGTGGCTGTGGTCAGGGTGGTTTTCTAGGATGTTTTTTAATGATCAGTGGGTATCTCGTGACACACTGCATAGGCTTCAGATGAAGCTGGATAGTGGCATCCCCTTGCACCAACAGTCCATTGTCAGTCTCTGAAAGAATATTTTTAATGTGCATTAAAGATCAGCAACATTGTGTTTGTCATCTAGGACTCCCCGCCCATTATTCATCCATTTGGATAGTAACTGAGGAGCCTGGAGTTGGAAAGCTCTGTCCAGCTATCACGGTCCAGGATGAAGCCATTTGCAGAGGGAAGACGGTGTGGTGGTTTGGAAGAAAAAAAAAATCGGGGTTAGATCTTCTGAAACTGGCATTACAGACAGATGTGAGCCAACACATGGGTGCTGGAAATCAAACTCAGATTCCCTGGAAGTACAGCCAGTACTCTTAACTACTGAGATATTTCTCCAGCCCCTCCATGATCTTTTAGAAAAGAAAAAAAAAAAGTTGTTTTAAAGACACTTGGTTAGCTTGATAGTTAATGAAACATCCCAACAGGAATGCTTGGTTGATGCTTGGGCCAGGACTCCTTAATATGATTGCTTTGTGCAGCATTTTTAGCTCAGGGTGAAGGTTAGTTCAGCTGTGACAGGCCTGAGGTTGTGCTGACACGGATTGTTAGAAGTTTTGGGTTCTTGGAAGCATTATCTGGTCTATACAGCAGTACTGAGCCCAGATCCCAACAGCATCCACTAAACAACCGCTGTTCCTGTTCATATTACAATTCAAAAGCCCATAGAGGCTAAATGTTATCACTTCTCTTGGGATTTCCCAAGGGCGATAACCAAAAAGAAAAAAGAAAGAAAGAAAGCACACCACGAAAACACACACACACACACACACACACACACACACACACACGAGAGAGAGAGAGAGAGAGAGAGATATGATGATGATGATGATGATGATGATGATGATGATGATGATGATGATGATGATGATGATGATGATGATGATGATGATGATGATGATGATGATGATGATGATGATGATGATGATGATGATGATGATGATGATGATGATGATGATGATGATGATGATGATGATGATGATGATGATGATGATGATGATGATGATGATGATGATGATGATTATGATGATGATGATGATGATGATGATGATGATGATGATGATTTAAAGGAAACTGCTTTTGCTCCTTAGTGAATGTGGTACCTGAGAACCATGTCCTGTCATAGGACTGGAAAAGCCCTGCAGCCACCCCCCCCCTCACTCCCAGCGCAGAGGGTTAGAATGCACCACTTAGAGGACAGCCTGCATTGGATAGGACAATGAAATAATAAAAAAGCAGCTTCCATTCCATGGTCTTGTGATTTTACTGTATGAAGTATGTGGCGTGATTGCCCGTTTAAAGCCCTCATTTATTGTGTAGCTGGTACTTGCCTTTCCACTTACTCTCTCGAAACGTGACAGCAAAGAGAAATACATTTACTCAAAAGCCCCAAAAGGCGGAAATGGCGGATGTAGGATGTGATAAAAGTCCACTGGAGTTGACATCCTCTATACTGCTCCCTGGAAGAAACAGGATCAGTAAAACACCAACGCAGAGGCCCTTTATTGCCTTGTGGGGCTCACCCCCATGTCTCCACTCCTTTCCATTTCCTGGTCACGAGGGAAGGAAGATCCAAGACAGGGCAGCGGGGCATGAAGTCACCCCCTGAATTCCCACACTTCCTTTATAGCTTTCATTCCTCCCAAAGTAGCTTCAAGAAAGACGTGAGGTGAATATTAAAAGCCCCAGGCTGGAAGACCTGCTTAGTTCAACCCCAGTTCCTCAACCCCCTGACTTCAAAGCAAAAGGAAGCGCGTGCAGAGAGGGAGGAGGCGTGGGTCCTCCCCGCGGCCCCTCGGAGCTGTGAACATTTGCAGACCCTGCGCCCAGCTCGCACCAGGTGTCCTGGGCTGCTGCCCCGCCCCGCCGCGCCCCGCCCCTCCCCTCCCGCGTCTGCCTTTCATGTGGATCAAGGCCTGAAGATGACAAGCCTCCTGACTGATAGATACACCGAGGCTTCGCTGGTGATTTATTGGCTTTCTGCACCTGACTAGAACCACTAGGTCTATCCGAGGAAGGAAATATATGGGTTTTCCTGACTCCAAGTGGCAGCCCCGGGGCGAGCATGTGATGTCAAGCTGGGCCGTGGGAAGCAGAGCTGTGCACCAGCCTGTGTTTTGTAAGCGGGCCCAGGTCATAAAAGTGTCAGCACGCGATGTATTTCTTGTGGGGGATCCTCTCTGGGCTGTGGCCAGCACCCTTTCTCCAGTGGCTGGCAGCTAGATGAGTTGGCTGAGAATGTCCCTGTCTCCTTAGTTCAGGATGAAGTGGGCCGAAGGTCCCCAGCCACACCTCTTCACTTCCTAGAGCAGAGCATGTGCAGTAACAGGGGCTTTCTAAGGCCAGAGGCATAGCATTCTTGTCCTTACTGCAGTCTGGGGTCTCTCATGTCACTTCTGGCCTTCAGCAGAGTACAGGCTCGGAGCCTGCAATCAGGTAACCTGGATGGGAATTCTTGTTAAATGGGGGGATTCGAAGCAAGTTACATCATCGCTCTGCACCTGCTTCCTCATCTGTTACTAGAAATGACATTAACACTAAACATGGGGCAGGGAGGATTACCACAGAAAGCAAAGTTCTACCCCTACAAAAAGGATGATGAAAGTCATACTCAAATGTCCCTAAACAGTAAGCAAGGCTTATTGGAGATGAAGCCGGGATCCACAATCTACATTTTGCTTATTATCTTATGCAGAGGCTGGACACTGCCTTGGCTCCTATAGAGACTGGTTATGCCCAGCCAAGCATAGAAGAGTGGTTGAACCCACATTTTTAAATTAACTTTTGCTGCCAGTGCTGGTGTTTCTGGGCAGATCTGGTGCTGTTCATGGCCTTGACCTCATGGCATTACCCCAAGATATAACTTACCACAGCATTAAATCAATAAATACAGTTGGGCTTCTGTAAAGGCAAAGATGAAATTCACCCCTTTTGTCTAAAAGCAATGCTTTTAGAAAATGGATATCCCCCGCCCGGGGGCAATTTAACTGTCCTAGTTTTATACCAACATAAAGGTCTTAACACCTCCTACCTGATCAAGATGTGAGAACCGTCTTTCACAGAAGTGAGGCTGCAAGTTCTTAAGGCTTGCCCAGCTACTCCAGGGATGTCCTGGAAGAAAAACATGTGAAGGATGCTGGTCCTCGGGGTTTTAAAACAGACCAGAGAAGGGCCTCAAAAATGTTCTGAACTGATGGCTAGGGACAGCAGGGGGCAATTAATCCACAGAAATAAAACTAACTGCTGGAGAGGGGAAACTTGGGCTTACAATTTTGGCCAATACAAAAACTAAAAGAATAAGAGGCTGTCTGGTGTTCACGTGGCATCATGTGACTGATGCTGTTCTCTTCCCCAGACCACCTTAGGACACTGTAGTTGCATTTGTGGGAATATGATCTTTGTAACAGTATTAAGGCCACATCTTAGTTTCTCATTCACAAGTATCAGTGTTCAGAAAAGAGTCAAGCAGCAAGATGAAAGTGGCATTCTCCCGGTCAGACCTAGGTAGTCTGTCTGCAAGACATCGACATTCTGTGACAATTAGGAATGAGAATGAGGGGAGGGACAAAAAGGAGACAGGAAAAGTCTCTGAAAAATAAAAATGGATTAAACCATGTCCATACTCCAGGTTGGTAGGAAAGTGTTTATGTTTCTAATAAACTGCACTGTCTTTACCTCAAATTATTGTCTGTAGTTGCAGCACAGACTCAGTAGTACTGTCTGTGATAGTCAAAATTTATCTTTGGTTATTGTTTCCCAGAACACCACTCCACCATGACAGTAAGAGATAGGCTAAGTCTTATGACCCTAAGAGTCACCAGTATTTTATTATATCATTGGAAGGGTTTCTCACTGTGTGTTAAGGATAGCATGGAAGGACGTGTCTGTCTTCTGTATCTGAGTGGCTCTCACTGTCTTATCAAGCCTTGATTGCATTGCCTGTGTTGTACCAGTAGTGATTTTCAGGAGGTAAAAAGCAGCAGTGAGTGCAGATGGGAGGTTTGTGGTCACATTTATTTGTATTCAAACATAAGATATTGATATTATCCTATTTCTATTACTTAAATGTGAGCAAGCATCATTGCCACTCTGCCTACCATTTTTGTGATATTGGCTATGCTTTCCTGAAATAGAGATCTGTTGTCAAAATATTTTAACTTTAACTTGAAAGAAAATATACAAGTAATTGTTAAATACCTTATTTGTATGGTAAAGGAAAAATCTTGACAATGAAATAGCAATGTGTTTAGCACAGGATACTTAAATACACATTATGTTGCTTATACAATTCTTAATACTGGAAAAGAAAGAAATAGGCTAACTCTATATTGTATATGCAACTTGCAAATGTTTCACTCTTGTCCATCTTATCTTTCACCTTGGTCTTGGCAAAGATTTCATGGGTAAATAGTCTGTTGAATGATTTCATTTAAAGACTCGGTGAAAAATCGTGGCTGAACAAATTAAAAAATAAAACCGGCGTGTGCACACACAAAGCCACAAACAAAGCTACATTCCAAGCGGCTGTTCACAAGATCACCCCACCTCTGCCTGCATCATGCAGGGCACATCTGTTGTCTTCCCTCCCTCGCATCTGATGGCGCTCCTTCCACAGTTGTGAGCAGGTGCACTCACTCTCTTCTCTGTACGTGTTCAGGGAAGCATGGGAAGGGCTCCAAGGCTTCAGAAGTAGAACACAAGCTGAGTTTCAGCTTCTCGGTGAATCCCTTAACTTGGGAATGGTGGCTTGTATAAGATCCATCTGCACAGGCTCATGGAAGCCCAGTCTAGAAGTTGCTCTCTTGCCACTTGCTTTTCCTTCCAAGGCTTCCTTCTGGGCCTCAGTGTAGACATTGAAGTCCAGGTCTGTAGGATCCCAGCTCTGGTACTTACAATATGTGTGATTGGGGGCTCATCTCTTCATCTTCCTGGGTTACTTTTTCCTTCTGTAAAACAGAGTTCTATCTGCACCGTCTTTCCCAGGGTTCCTGTTGGAATGAAATGATTCCCACTGAGGTCTGATCTGGATATTCTAGATCATACTTATTCAATGACAGTCTCACAAGATTGAAGATTAGAAGACATTCTAAGTATTTGAGCTGCAAAAGTCTATAAGAGATTCCTGCATCCACCAAGGCCTTAGAGTAAGTAAGGGACCAATGGACAATAGAGAGGCAGGCTTTGCCAACAAGCAGGCCTTTTCCATTGTTCTGGATCCTAATGTCTCAGAGCATTCTATCCTAGGTGCCCTCATTGTGCCTATCACCCCTATCTACAGGAAATCCAGTAGCCTCATGCCAAGACCTGACACTGCTCCCAGGCTTGTCACTTAGCCTGCAGGGCCTTGGTAAAGGCTGCTGTGATGGGCTACTTTGAACTGGGATAGTAGGGTTTGCCACTAATCCTTTACTCCATTCCAGACCCTGCTGTGAGCTGTAAATCTTACTCAGAACATGTAGGTAGGGCCTCTCCTTTGACTTTCATTGGTTGCGTGAACACAGTGCCTATCCTCACTCTGCTGGACCATACCATGTGCAACCCATGCAGAAGGTCATCCAGGAGATGTACTGAGGGACACTTAGTTCTGAGAAAAGTTTGCATATCCTGAGACTCTTAATTAGCAACATTTCAACACAAATATAAAGGAGTACTGGGCCCTGGAGAGGAGTAAGAGCATAGTTCAATGCATAACTTGAAGATGGAGGTACCTGAGGTTAGCCTGGGAGTACTGTCATGAGCCCCATGATACAAGGAGTATCCTGGAGCCCTCTCTCTAGGCTAGCTTTCCAGAGGTACCAACCCTCCCCTTCCTTCAACAGCAAGGCACTAACATTGAATGTTTACAACCCAGGCTTTCCCATGTGTCCAACTTAAGGATGATGTGGCTTTAGGTAAGGAACATAATGTCTCTGAACTTTTTCCTCATCCATTTACCTACAAAAAAGTGTGAAAGTGTGACAGAAATACCTATGGTTTAACTAGATAACACTAAAACTGAATACATATTGCTTCATTTCCTGCTAGCCCTTTAAAAATATATATTATTGCAATGTTCTAAAGATTTGTTTCATTTGTTCATGCTTCACAGTCCTATATGTATGATGAAAATAGATACATATTTTAGATTTATTTTTATTTTATGAGTATAAATGCTTTGCCTACAGGTGTATATCTGTACCATGTGTGCACAAGATCACCTACAACTGAAGTTACAGATAGTTAGAAGCCATCACATGGATGCAGGAACCAAATCCAGGCCCTCTATAATAGCTGTTAAGTGTTCTCAAACACTAAGCCATCTCTTCAGGCCTCAGTAAATACATGCTTTTAAATTATATAATAAATGAGTATGATTGTGCTCATATTTCTGTGTTCATCGAGTGACTGTCTAGAGACAATACAAACCAAGTGTGACCATGGCCTTAAGTCAGTAACTGAGGCAGGTCATTATTTGGAACTCAGATCAGTTCCAAAGATCAAGCGCCTGCAGCCACGCCCTGGTTTTGGAAGTTTCCCATAGAGCTTGAGTTTCAGAGCAGTTCTCCATTGCTTCCTGACATAGCCATAGAATACTTAGACAGTTTTCCACCAGAGGGCAGGAGTCACAAAGATTAAAAACAAAATAAAGAGCTTCCCAATAAGACTGTCAGTGTGAAGGATTCTGGGTAGGCTGCCCATTCGACCACTGGCTGTCTACCTAAAAAATGGGCTTTTGCATTAAGTTCTTTCATGCAGAGGCAAAACATAAACATTTTAACATTTGTCAGTCTCAGTCTCTTTAGTATATCCTATGAGTATCCATAAACAATATTATAACAGGTAGATGAGACTGGTACAGTGCAACTATGTAGAAATAGGCTTGAGCCAAATTTGTCCCATAGGCTGCAGATTGCTAACCCCTGCTTCTTAGCATTCATACTTCTGTGCTAAAAGTTTTCTATGGGTCTGAGGATAGTTACATCTTCACATCTACTCTGATCCTTGATCAATCACCCGTAAGAGGCCTGGAAGGTAGAAGTGCAAAAGAATAAGATCAAATTGAACAGCCCAAAAGGTGAAGCCTGGAGTTACATGAGATCTGGGTAGTTCAATGCCTAAGAGAAGCCCCTTATTTTCTGAATAAATAACTGTTTAACTATTTGACTGGTTTCCATGAATGTGTTTATTGTTTGGTTGTCCCAGAACACTCTGGGTCTACAGGTCATTCACTAGCTTCATACCTTCTCTTTAATCAACCCCTCTTTGCCAAATGTCAGGAGCAAAGTAAGCAAAGCACGGATGTGGCTGGGCTCAGGTCAAGTCAAAACACCACCTCAGCTGATCTGATATCTTTGGAAACTGGTGTGACCCAAACAGGTCTCAAATCTCCTGATTTTCCCAGACATCTTTTCCTGTAGCAAGCCCTCCGGTTCCTTTGGGCTACTGGTTTTGGGGAATCAGTGACAGTAAGGACCCACTTGCATCTGAGCATCTTGCAACATCTTGTTCTTGCTCCCCCTCTCCCAGTCAGGTGCATACTTTGATACTTGTACCAGGCTTGGAACAGAACTGAAAAGGCCTATGACCTGAAGGAAGGGGCACCTCACCGTCTTCTATGACTCTTCCATCACCATTGTCTGAAAGGGAAGTCTAGCTTAAGGGCTGGTCAGGCAGACTGATTTCCACGTCTGCCACATATTTCTAACATTGCTTATCTGCCATGACTTACCATCTGGGACTTGACATGTTCTACACATATGGGCATGTTGTACGCATTAAGACATGCTTCCTGTGCTGATTTTCCCAGGCTGAGGGCATTTTCCTAAAGCAGAATTGAAGAGTGAGTTCAGCCATTCAGGCTGACCTCATCATCCACAGGTCTAGAGAAGGTTTGGGCCATTTTCTTCACTGTGAGGGTTTACAGTGGAGATCCAGGGCATGCTAGTGGGAGAGCTTGCGTTCCCTACAGTGGAGAGTTGCTGTCTCCATGATCAACAGTGGATGGTATCCTGATCTGCCCTGCCTTTCTCCTCCCTCCCCCCTTCCACATGGAGAGAGGCTGCAGCCTGCAGTTCACAGCTCACCTGGAAAAGCCTCCGGCTGCTCAAGGGCTGGATGGAGACGCTGAGACAACCTGATGGATCATCTCATAAACAGAGCCTGCAGGAAGGAAAAGAAAATTATGCCAGCAGAATGCACTTATGAGAAATAGATACGTGCGGTGCAGGGAGAAATGCTTTGATATTAAAATTTTTTGTAACTTAAAAAGGCATGAAAAATGATACCGACCACTAACTAATCAACATTCCTCTGCGAATGCAGCTTCAGTTCCTAACCAAAAACACATCCCCGCTATTGTCTTGTCTGAATCCAGATGCAAACATGATTAATTAAGTTTCAGGCAAGGAGAGGGAGGGGGTTGGTCAGGATGAATGGTGCTCCAAGGATCCTTCTTGTACACAGGCTGAGGAGCCTCTCTTTTCCACATGGCAGGGCTTGCCTTCTGTGCACCTACAGCCACTCGGCTCAGGGAGAGGATCGAACCCAGATCTGCAGGGTGACTCAACAGTCAGAAGGAGATCCCCAGTGTGTTATGCAGGGCAGAGAAAGCACATGTTATATGCTGTTGGGAGACCTCGCCTCTGCTCTCCACACAAGCTACTAAGCAGACTGGACCCTTGGCAAGCTGTCTCAGTTTCTGTACTCCTGAAGTGAAAGGTTGGGTTAAAAGGCTCTGTGAATAGGTCTTTGGCTTTTTACCCTGGAGCCTGGATTCCTCCCACATAACAGGTGTTTGAAACTGATTGCTGGTCATGTCTGTGACTGTCAGGCCTGCTCTTTGTAGGTGTGAGAAGCACAGCAGGAGCCAGCAGACCTGCCATTCATTCCCTGATCTGAAGTCTAAAAACTGCCCGCTCTGCCAGGCCTATCTCATCTGGCATTCTTTCACGCTAGTTGGTCAGAGGGGACAATGACAGTGTGCAGACCTCTTTCCAGGAGTCTGCTTCCCTAGTCAAAGCCATTAAACTCTAAAGTGTACTGCAGTTTGGGTCATCCAGCATCCTAAACCATTGTGCACAAAATCTTTGGGGCCACATTGACTTTCCCTGTAAGATAAGAGTTAAAATCAAAATACATACCTCCCAAGATTGTTGTGAAAGTCAGATAAAGTATGTACAGTGTTTACAGTCACAACTTACATTGTTAGCAAATGTCTAGTGTCAGTGTTGTTACTGAAGGCCCCCCTACTGCTTTGAGTGGCCACCAAATGTTTCTGTACTGAACACAGAGCTGTGTCTCATTGCAGCAGAAAGTACATGGCACTGTCTGAATCTTCAGTTGCACAGAGCAAGCACATTCATTCATTTGACAGATGTCACTGAATGCCCACCATACATCCTTAAGATAGACTTTGGTGAAATGTTGCGCAGTGCTCCCAGAGGGCTGAGACCTGGCCTCATCAGAAGAACATATAATGGCTGTCCTCCCTGCACAGTGAGCAGGTGCTGACTTATACGTGGGTAAAGGAGTTTTACAAGGCTAGGTGGATCCTAGGGCAGTACAGTTCCTGGTATAACACCAAGAACTCATTAAACTTTGAAACTTTGTGAAGTGATTTGATCCAGAGCCAAGACTAGAGCTTAGTGAACTGTTTAATTTTTTTCTTACAACCTGCTGATTCCACTAATATTTAGTCCCACTTGATATCAGCTGTAGACAGCAATTTTCTTAGAACACTAGCTACTCCCTCCCAAGTATGGAACAATGAATTGACCAACTCAGGGTCTATAGTCCTGTTTGATTCCAAAGTAAAGAGGATTACTTTTACACATATGCCTGACTTCATTCCAGTGAGCACCTATGAAATGTGCAGCATCCTCTTACCTAGCTTGGAAATCACTTGCAAATGCTGTTTCCTATGCGTCCTCCTGTTTTCAAGAGGAGGTGTGCTATTCCCATTTCCCAGTTGGAATGACTGAGAGCAGAGTCGAGAGATGGCTTACACGGGGCTGGAGCCACAATAAGATTTGGAGATAGAGCCAATTCTTCTTCCCTGCCTCTGAATCCATAACAACCTGGGAATGACCTTACAGGGTAAAACACAAGTGAGAAATGGAGAATACAGATGCTGAACCTCTGGACCAAGTCCAGCATTTGGAAATGAGTGCACTACTCTTATGAAATTAAGACAAATGGGCCATTTGTAAGTCAAGGTAGCCACATCTTCCAGGGAGGTTACAGGCCAATCCTAGCCCCATGAACAATGGGTTTCAATTTATGACAATGGAGATTTAACCCCTACAAGATGCAGAGGACTGCTATGAGGAATGTTTTACAAAATTACTGAGATGAAAGCTACCTTAAAATAGCAGCATAAGGATATAGAGATGAATTTTTGGCTTCCACACTGTACATGAACTAGTCCTTCAGTTGTGAATTCCCAGCTCTGCAAGTCAAAAGACCCACCTTGCCTCATTTTCTGGCAGCTTCCACTCCTCCCAAAGTTCAAATGACTGTTTCTTTTGCCCTAGGACATGGACCTGTTGTCTCTGCTTTGGCTTCCCTTGTTTTTGTTCTCAAGTCCTTGGGTTTGGACACATTATTCCAGTATCCTGGCCTCACATTCCAGAAATCTCTGCTTTCTTTTTCCTTCCTCGTGATCCAAGAAGCCCCAGCACAGAGCTGCTTATCTGGGACTACGGACGCAGCACGACAGGAACTCAAGGCTCAGGAACACAGAGTCCAGATAGGAAGGGTTACATAAGAACTGGTAAAGGCCAGGCTTCCCCTCTTGCTAATCTCCCTGATCCCAAATATTGTCATTTGCGGAACTCTCAGCACAGTTATGGTCCCTACCCACTCAAGTCTGTGCACGAAGCCTCTGAGCCTCCTCAGCCATTGGAGAGCCCCAACCCCCTTAGAAAATGCACAGTGACCTTCCCTGTATTTTGAAGGATTTTTAAGGAGTTTGAAGGGGTCACATGAGGCATAAAGGTGGGTAGGATCAAGCAATGTTCTAAAGATTTTTACAGCTTCTCTTGGATATTTACAGCAACCTCATGAGGCCTGTGCATTCCCTATTTTTCTGAGGGAGAAACTGAACACCAGGGGGTTATACAAAAGCACAAGATATGCAGCTACTAAGTAACTGAGTGACAGGAAAGACTAGAAAGAAAACACAGGCTGGTCAGACTCCAAAGCCAAAGTTGTGTGAACAAAGTCAGAATAAGAGCTCCAAAGTCCAAAGGAAGAATTGGCAAAGCTTTTCTGAAATAAGCCTGTTAAACAAACTCAAAGCTATTTCAGGGTTTCTGAGCCACACTTTTGTTTTGTTTTGTTTGTTTGATTTTCTACATTTTAAAATTTAAATTAGAAACAAGATTGTTTTACATGTCAATCCCAGTTCCTTCTCCCTCCCCTCCTCACCTGCCACCCCCTAAACTAACACCCTACCTATCCCATACTCCTTCTGCTCCCCAGGGAGAGTGAGGCCTTCTGTGGGGGGAGTCTTCAGAGTCTGTCATATCCTTTGGGATAGGGCGTAGGCCCTCCTCCGTGTGTCTAGGCTCAGGGAGTATTCCTCTATATAGAATGGGCTCCCAAAGTCCACACCTATGCTAGGGATAAGTACTGATGTACTATGAGAAGCTCCATAGATTACCGAGATTTCCTCACTGAGACCCACATTCATGAGGTCTGGATCAGTCCCATGCTGGTTTCCCAGCTATCAGTCTGGGAACCAAGAGCTCCCCCTTGTTCAGGTCAGCTGTTTCTGTGGGTTTCTCCCTGGTCTGCTCCCCTTTGCTGAGCCACACTTTGTAACACATTCATTTTGTTAAACTTCATTTTCATTTTAGTCACCTTTTAGGTTATAGCTCATTAATCCCTGATCTAAAGATTTTGAACATAGAAACGAATCCAGGATGAGGCTAGGATGTCAAAGCACTAATTACTAGTCTTGCTTCTGAGGTTCCTTGGTTAATACTGCTGAATACCGGCAAACTATCAACTACTGAGTGTTTTATTTTGAAATTTTATGAGAACAAATTGCCATAAGCACCTAACCAAGATATAGGCTTGATTCATTTAGGAAGACTTCAAATATACTTCTAAGCATGAATAATTCATGTCCTTATAAAACTGATCTGTTTTGAAGTTTAGTAAATAATGCAATAATTCTTAATTATCACACATACAATAGCCATTGTTCACATTTAAATATGTCATTGCACATTTTTAAAAACACAAATAAAACTACAAAAGATGATATTTTTTAGCCCTGTTATCCCTAGAAGCAGGAAAATGATCTCCACTTCTATAATGGTATAGGCTTTTATTTAACAGAAGGAGTAAGCCTGTGTTCTTAGTCAACTGGGAAGAGAAACTGCAAGAAGTTGAATATGAACTGCTTCTTTCCTTTTTCATACCAAAGCTGATCCTAGGTCTGTACTCTTCCTTTCCTTGAAACTCAAATCGATTTAACAGTTGTATGCTCAGTGTTGAAATTGGGAGCTATCCCTTACTCCTTAGGAACAACATAAAATATCTTGTTAAATGTCAGATCAAAGCTATGTGTCTTCAGACATTACAGTTACAATTAGAAACCCATCAACAAGCAGACAAGAATGACCCATCAACAGTCAGGCAAGAATGGAGATGGACTCAGAGGATGGTACCCCTAGCTACTTACTTATTTCCTTCAGAGAGACTCATGGAAAAAAAGAAGACATTCCCTTAGTTGTGTACAACTGGTAGTCCCATCAT